TTTTTGTATATTGATTTTTTTTTTGTTCGATTGCGTTTACTTTTGAGTTTGTTTGGTGTTTTTCTTTGAGTATTTTATTTTTTTTTTTATTTTTCTGTTGTTTTATAAGCCTGGGTTTTTTGTTTGTTTTTCTCTGAGTTGTAGGGTGTTAATTGTTTTTTTCTTTATGATTTATTTAATTCTTGTTCACATTTTTTGAGGCTGGGGATGTTGGTTTTGACGGTATCGGGTTTTTCGTGCACTGGGTTTGCCTGTGGTTTGTTTGTTTCGGTGGTTTTGGGGTGGGTTTTTTTTGTGGTTTGGTATGTTGTTTTGCTAGTGTTGCTTGATGTTTGGTCCGTTTAGTTTATTTTGATTTGGTATGTGGGTTTGTGTTGGGTTGTGTTTTTTGTTTGGCATTAAGAGATGTTCCATTTGTTCGTATTTTTTATTGTTTGGTTCCTTAGTTTCTTTGTGCTGTTGTAGTTTTATCTGCTACATCGCCGCATATTTTTTTGTATTGTATATTTGGTTCTTTTTATATTTCTTGTATTTGTTTTGTTTTGTTGTTGTACTTTGTTTGTGTTTTTAGTTTTTGTTTATGGTTCTTTTATTTGTATCGTTTCTTCTTTGATTCTTTTGCAGGGTTAAGTTTGTCTTTCTTTGGGTTAGTTGTCTTCATGTTTGTTGTTGGGCTGGGAGTTCGTTTGTTTTTATTTCAGGGTATTGTGCGATTGGTTTATTTGATTTGTGATTTTGTCTTCTAGATGGATTGTTTTGTTCTTGTTCTGTTTGTGGTGTTTAAGTGTGTGTAGGGGTAATGTGGTTGTGTTGATTTTTGTTTTGTGTGATCTTGTTTTTTTTGTGTAACTTCATTGTTTATTGTTTTTCTTTTTTATATTATTTTTTGGTGAGTTTTCGGTTTCTTTTGTTTTGTCATTTTATTGTTGTTTTTCTTTTTTTTATTATGGTTTCGTTTTATTTTTTTTCTTGTTGACCATGGTTTTTTATTAGTTTTGGTATTTAGCGTTATGGACGATTTTTGTTGTTAGTTAGTTGGTCTTATATTGCAGCCATTTTGCTTCTGCGTTAATTTATTCATGTTTATCCTTGTTTGTTTTTTTTTGTCTTGATTCGTTTGATTTTGTGATTTTTCCTTTTTGTTTTTATCTTTTTTTTAGTTGGGTGATACGTAGTTTTATGTGATTCTTTTTGTTTATGTTTGTTTGGTCTCTTTTTTGGACGTCATTTTTAAATTTACTGTGTGACATTATTGGTTTTTATGAGTGTTTTTTTTGTTTTTATGTTTTTGTTGTATGTGATTTTTATGTTTCATGTGATTGTATTTTTGTTTTGTTTTTTATGTGTCTGGTGTTGTGGTTTCGTTTTTTTTTTTTCTGTTTGTTTTGGTTTTAATTGTAGTGTGTGAGTGGTGTTGATTTTTAATTATTTTTCTGTGTTGGGCTTAGTGGGTTTCTTGTTTGTTTGTGGGGGTCTGGTTGTGTGGTTATTGTTTGCATTGTATGGATTATTTGTGTAGTTTCTTGCGTGTCGTAGTTTGGTATCTTGTTCCGTATTAGATTAGGTGGGCAGGTTGGGGAGTGGGGATAAGTAGTTGTCTATCGCGGGGTCAGGTGACGGTGGGGTATTTTTATTTGTGGGTTTGTTTTTTTTTTGGTTTGGTATTCCTGGTAGGTCTGTACTGTTGGTTTACTTTGTGTTTGGGGGGTACTCATCTTTGCTTTTTCTTATGTGTTGTGCTTTTTTGTGTGTGCGGGGGGGGGATTGGGTGGGGGCGTGTGGGTTGTGGGGTGTGGGATGAAGTGGTAGTTGGGGGTGGGGAGAGGGGGGTGGGGGGGGTTGCGATAGGGGTATGCATGGCGTGTTCGGTTGGAGGTTATGGGGTTGGGGTTGGTGTTGGGTCATTGATGGTGTGGTTTGGTTGGTGCAGGGTTATGTGGTTTGGGTGTTTTGGGGTGGGTGGAGGGGTGGTGAGGGTGGGTAGGAGGTGAAGGTTTCTTAGTGTGTTGTTTTTGGTTGGATTGGGTATTTTTTTCATGTCATTTTATTGCGTTTGTTATTCGCTTTGGCGAGTACCATGGGGGAAGTGTTTGAGTGGACTGTAGTGAATGGTATGTCCGTTTTTTTTTGGTAGAGTAACTGCGGGTATTTGGTAGTGGTGGGTGGTATATTTGCGGGTTGGTTTGGCAGTTATTGTCTTAGTGCTTGCAGTTGTATTGGTTGGCTATTTGTGTTTGTTTTTTTTGTTTTTTTCTATTGTTCTTAGTGCATGGAGGTGATTAGCTTCTGTTTGTGAGGGGTTATGGTTTTTGTGTGAGAGTGAGGGGTCGGGGGAAGGTAGGAGGGGAGCTTATTGTATTGGGGTGTGTGTTAGGGAGGTGTTGTGTGTGCTATGGGTTGTGATCGCCGTGGGGGCTGAGCCTGGGGGCAGAGGTTGGTGATTGTGGGGTGAGTGTTGCGGGAGGATGTTGGAGTTATTTGGGGTTTGGGCTTGTGGATGTTTTTGGGGGTGCTTTGGCGGGTTGAATGGGGGGATTGCACTGGTGGGGTGGGGTGGGTTGGCGTGGGGGTGGAGTGGGGTGGGATGGGGTTTGGGGGGTGCTATGGGCTGGGGGTTGCAGTGTATGGCGGGGGTGATTTGAGGTGTGTGTGGGCTGCGGCGGATTGGTTGGGTGTGGGCATTTGCTATGGGTGGTGTTGGAGGGGGGGGCGGTTGATTGGTTCTGTGGTGGTGGTTGGGCTGATGGTTGTGGGGGGTGGGTGCTGTTGGGCTTTGTGGGGATTGAGGGATGAGCGGGTTGGTTGTATTGTTATTGGTTTTGATTTAAGGGAGGGGGGGCTGAGGGTCGCGGGGGTGGTGGGAGGGGTGGTTTGAGAGAGTGGTAGGTTGGGTTGGGATTTTGGGGAGATGGGTTGCGGTTGAAATTGTTGTCGCGGGTGGAGTTTTGGGGGGAGTGTGTCAGTTGGTGTTGGGGTATGGTTTGGGTTGTGGTAGGGGTGTAGGAGGGATGGTGGAGTTTGGCTGTGGTTAGGGCTGGGGGATGGTGCGTTTCTAGAGGGTTTCATTTTATGCGTATTTTGTTGTTGATTTTAGTGTGGTTGGTGTTTGTATTTTATGGGTTACTTTTCGGTTGTTTTTAGGGGGGTGATCGGTGTTGTCGGGGTGTGGTCATTAATAAAGGTTGGGTATTGTAGGTTTGTGAGTTTCTGGGCGATTTGGAGGTGTGTAGGTGTGGTTGTTGTTGTGTGGGTTTGTGGTTATAGGTGTGATTGTTAGTGGGGTAGCGGCTGTGGAGGGCTGGGAGTTGGGGGTGGGTGGTCTGGGGTTTGGGTAGGGTTTGGTGTTTGTTTGCGGGTCTCGGGATTGTGCGAAGTTGGTGGGGGAGGTTGCTTGTGGGGGGGAGGCGTGGTGGTTGATCGTTTATGGGATGGGTGGGGTGAGATGTTTTTGGGTGGGGATGTTGGGTGGGTTGGCGTGTGGTGGATTGGCTGCAGGAATTTTTAGCATTTGAGGGGGGAGGGGCTGTAGTCTTTTTAGTTTGGGGGTGGGGGGTGGGGTTGGTTATGGGTATGGTTGTTGGTGTGTGGTTGATGGTCGGTGTGGTGAAGGTGGGGGTTGCGTGGGGTTTATTGTAGTGTTAGTGTTCATGAGGGGGTTTGGGGGGTGACATGGGTTGTGGGTTTGGTGTTGGGGGATTGGTGGGGGTTGTGGGTGGTTTGGGTCTGTTTTGGTGTTTTGGGGATTTTGAGCGGTGTCGTTCTGGGGACATGGGTTGGGGTTGGGCTGCTTGTGGGTGGTGCCAGTGTCGATGGGGGTTGTGTTGGGGGTGGGTGCATTTTGCTGCTTGGTGGATTGTTTTGGGGATATTTGTCCGGTTGTTTCTTTGGTTTGTGTAGGTTTTTTTTTTTTTTTTTTGCGGTGCACGGTCGCATTGATTGGTGTTTGTAGTATTGTCTAGTCGTTAGTTTGTTTTTCGATTTTGTTTGCTGGATCTGTGTTTTTTATCAGTTCTATGTGGTTAGTATGTTTTGGTTTTACCTAGATTTTTTTTCTATTCGGTGTTCATCGTGTTTTGTTATCGGATTGCTTGATTTTGTGGGGATTTGGGGGATTGGGGGTTTTGTGCTGGGGTGTGTTGTGGGTGCGGTTCTATGGATGTGTGAAGTTGGGTTTAGTTCTGGGGTGTGGGTTGTAGGTCGGGATTGTTGTGCGCTGCTGTGGGGTCTTTGTGGATGTTGTTGTATTGCTTGTGTTGTTTGTGTATTTTTGTAGTTGCATTTTTTTTCAGTTTATATTGTATATTTAATAGCTGTATTTGGACATGAATGGGGTAGTTGTTGGTGCTATTTATTTTAATTTTTTTTCGACTGTATTCATTTCGTTTAGGTGGTGTTCTTTTGTTTAGTTTGTGTTAGGTGTCTTTGGGTTATTTTGTTGTATGGATGCGTGGAATGGTGATCGTTTGCCTTTTGTTTGTGGGTCTAGTGGTTTGCAGGATGTGGTTGACTTGTAGACTTAGTTGTCAGTTTTTTTTTTTAGATGTTATGGTTTGTTTTTGTGTTTGGTCGTTTTCGGTTAAGTTTAGGTGCATGTTGTTTTGGTTTTGGAGTTGGGGGTGTTGATGGTGAGTGGGTTGCATGATGTGGGTGGAGGTGGCATGTTGATGGGTGTTGTATGTTTTGCGTGGTCTTGTTGTGAGGTACTTGGGATGTGTTTGGTGTTTCTGTGCGGTTGGGGTGGTGCGGAGTTTTGTGCGGTTAGAGTTGGTGTGGATGATGGTATTTTATTAAGATGGAGTGTGCGCAGGAATTAGGGTGTTTCCAAGCTTGGTCATTTATATGGGGTATTTTTTCATGTGATGTGTTTGAGGATTTTTCTAGTCTGGAATGTTATTTGTGTTTTTTTTTTAGATTTGTCTAGTTATTTATTTTTGTTGTAGATAGTATTCATCTATTTTGTCTTCTTGGTTGTGATGTTCGGTATTTTTTTTTATGTATTGTCATGACCGTGGTAACGTTTTAGGGACGTGTTTGTCGGGTGTGGGGGTGTCGGGCGCTGCTGTTTTTCGTTCGGGGGATTTGGGATTATGAGGTATTCCGATTTTAATGATCTGGGGGGGGCAGGGTTTGCGTGGTTGCGTTGTGGGGGTTTTCGTGTTTTTGTGGTGGTTGGTGGTTGTTGGTGGGTGTTTTTTGGGTCGTTTGTTGGCGTTTTGGTTTGGTTTTGGGCATTCATGTGTTTCTTGGGGGGGGGGCTGTTGTTGGTTATTGGGTGGTGTTGGGTCCCAAGGTCTACGGGAGTGTGGTTTTGTTTTTTTTGCGCGGTGAGGGTTTGGTGCTTTTGGGGTGGGTCTGGGCTTGGAGTGGTCTGTTGGGGAGTCGGTATGTTGTGGTTGGTTTGAGCATTCGGGTGGGCTCGTTTGGATTTCTTGTGGGACAGAGTATGCCCACATTTTTTGGGGTATAGAGGATGTTTATTTGGTGGAGTTGGTGTGTGGTTTGGGTGTATGTTATCATTTCTTGATGCTGTGGTGTATTGGTGGGTGTACGTAGTCGGGGTTGTTGTTTTGTAGGGTCGATGCCATGTTTGTGTGTCATTATTTGTGGTATGCATTTAGGCGTTGAGGATTGTGATTTTGCGTAGTTGTGCTTTGATTGGTGAGGTTTTCATTGGGTGTGTTTTTCATGCTTTTGTGACGTAGTTGTCTCTTTTGCTTCAGGGATTTGTTTTTTGTATTTGTTATGTTTTAGTGGGTTGGGGTATGTGCGTTGTTAGTCTTCTTCTAATATGGTGGTTAGTGGGTTTTTATTGGGTCATGTCTGTTCTATTATTTGGGCCATTATTTTTCTTATGGATCGAGTTTTTTGTTTATTGTGATCCGATTTTTGGTGAGTGATTCGTGTGTACTGGGTCTTTTGGTCGATGGGGCGTTTTGCGTTGGGCGTTTGTTTGTTTTTACGTTGATTTATTGTTTTTTGGGAGGGTTCTTTGTTTTTTTTTTTTCTTCATGTGTTTATCGTCTATTTCATTTTTTGTGTTTTGTTGTTTATGTGTTTATTTTCTATATCTTTTGCGTTGATTATTGGATTTGTGCTTTTTACATCTAGGGATTTATGTTGTTGGGGGCTGGTCAGATGAGGGTTTGTTTTTTTGGTGTTTGTTTGGTTAGTTGTCTTATTTCTTATGGTCGTTGAGTTGAGGTTGGGTGCGTTTGTTGGTTTACTGTGGTACAGGTTTAGGCTTTTGGACGTTTGGAGTTTGAGCGATGTCGTTTATTGTTGGTGTCTGACGCCGAGAGGGTGAGTTTTCTCATTTGTCTTATCAATTTTTTCTTGTTTTTTTGTATTTTGTGTTTTATTGTCATTTTTTTTTTTGTTTTTAGGAGGTTCTTTTTTCAGAGGTTTATCATTGTCTTTATGTTTTGGTTTATTTTTTTCGTCTTTAGTTGTGATTGGTTGATTGTGTTTGTTGGCTAGACATTCTTTTTTGTGTTGTGTTATAGAGTTCTAGTAGGGGTTTTGTTGATTATTTGTGAGTTTTTGTTTTGTTGGTGGTATTATGATGTTATGTGCAGTGCGTGTTTGTCAACTAAATGGGGGTGCAGTTGAATTTTGGTTATAGTTTCACGGATGTTATAGGGGTGTTCTTGTATTGAGTTTTGCTTTGTGTTGGTTCATGTTTCTCAGATGTTGTTGGGTTATTGAGGGTGGTTTCTGGTTCTGGAGGCATGGCTGGGTTGTTGGATTTGTTATTTTGCCTGGTTTTGGTCGTTTTATTAGGTTGTGTGTCCCTTTGTATTTATAGTTTGTTGTATGTTTTTTTGCGTTTGAGTTTCTTTATTTTCACTTGTTGCTGTGGGGTGTATGTTTTGGATTTTGTTATTTGCTCTTGAACTTATTTTCCGGGATTATGGGATTTTATGGGTTTGGGTCTACGTTGATTGGATTTGTGGAGGGCTGAATGGTGGATTGTTTTTTATAATATTTTTAGAAGAGGGGTGTTGATTGTTTGGGTGCATAGTTCAGGGTTGGTGTGGTTGCTTGGTGTCATTGTTTTAGCGATTTGGCGGATTGGTGTATGGTTCGGTGGTTGGCTATGGTTTTTGTTATGTGGGAGATTTTGTTTTGAGGGGTTGTGTTAGTGGGTATTTTGTGTGTGAGGCTTTGTTTTTTAAGTTGGATTTGTGTTGGGGGTTAGTTGATGGTTAGTCTTTGGTGGGTGGGGAGGAGGGATGGTGGGAGGTCCGGTGTTGGTGTTGTGTGTGTTATTGGGTGGTTTTCGTTGTCGTTGTGTGTATTGTTTTAGCGGCTGAGTGTAGTTTTGGCATTGTTTTAGTTCTTTTGTGGTGTTTGGGTTTTGGTGAGTATAGGTAGTGTTGTGAGTGGGTGGTGTATTTTGTTGGAGGTAGGTGTTGCGGGGGGGGATTGGTGGGGTTCTTGTGTTTGTCTCTTGTTTGCGTGTACTATTTTGTTGTTTGAATTGTTATTGTTGGGTGATTCGAGATGTCTTTTGTTCAGTTTGTTCTTGATACTTGTTTTGTTCTGTAGGTAGTGATGCGTGTTTGTTTCTTTGTTTAGGTTAAGGCCAGTTTGGCAGTTGGGTGTGGGATTGGGTTGGTGGTTGGGGGGAGAGTTATTGGTTTAGTCTTGCGTAAGTTAGTGTGGGTTTATCCATGAGGGGGGGGGGTGGTTTGCAGGGGTAAATATGCCATGTATATTTGCTTTCATAACTATAGTTGATAATATTTTTCTTTCTTTGCTTTTTTACCATTTTTGCATTCCTAGTTCTTCTAAATCCTGGTTAATAGCACCAATCCATTTTTTTTCTGGTCCTACCTCTCGGTATTTTCTCGTTTAAATCTTTACTAAAGTACTGTTTTTGTATTTTTTTTATCATTCATCCTTTTTACGTGTCCCAACCAGCTCAGTCATTTACTTCGCATTTTTTTGTGATAGTCGTTCCATTAAATATTCAATTTATTTCTTGGTTCAGTCTTATACGCCAGTCCCTATTCTCCTGTGTAGGTTCATATATTTTTCTTTCCCGTCTAAGAAGTAATGCATACGATAATACGGGTCTCATACCTGTTGTGTATATTTTTATTTTTGACTTTATAATATTCTTTAGGCTGTAGAATCATTTGTTTAAAGGTGAAATACTCTTTAAAATTTTTTCCCGTTTGAAGATATATGAAAGTATTTTATTTATACTTTTTCTCGAATTGTTTTCATGTACTTTGTTGTTGAGATATTAATTTCTAGACCCATAGTAGATGCTGCTTCTTTAAAATGTATGTAAATATTTTTTAGGGTCCTTACTGTTTAGCTAATTATATTTATATCATCTGCGTAAGCTATGATTGACTTGGTTGACTTTTGTAAACATTGTATCGTCCCTCTCTATAGTAGTTTTGCTGATAACTTGTTCCCATTCAAGGTTAAAAAGTGTTGTGGATAGCGCATCTCCTTGTATTATACCTTCGTTGATATTAAATAATCGGACAGTTGATTTTGGATTCTTACTTTTGCTTTGGTATTGGTTAGGCATTGTTTTACTAATCTGATTAGTTTTATTTGGAATATTTAACTCACTCTTGCACTACGTTATATGATTATTTTCTAATTATTGAGTCATACGCTTGTTTGAAATCTACAAAAGAATGAGGAAGTTCATTATTTTGTTCTTAGAATATTTGCAGCGTTTACCTTATTGTAAATATTTGCTTTATAGTTGACCTACATTTTCTGAATCTTTCTTTATAATCCCCTGTTGTTTGTTTTATTATATTGCTTAGCCTTCCTTGTAAAATTTTGCTAAATATTTGCTATCCAACGTTTAGTAGTGATATTCCCCGGTGATTATTCCCTGAAAACGCGTCAACAGGTTCTATTTTGCGCTAAGGCCTTCACCTTATTCCAAGAGTTCCTTGACCTCTTATCTTGTCCATGATGGATCTTCTCCAAGTTTGTACTGGGCGATTTTTTTTTCTTCCTTGGGGAATTCACTCTAGGGCAATTTTTTTAAAGCCCTTTTTTCTATTTAGATTTCCAAATATAGGCCTCTCCTAATTCCTAATTCCGAATCCTAAAGATTGCCATTAGGAGGGCAATCTTTGCAATACCGGAATTATTTTTTCTGAGTGTGGGACCAATCCAACCCCACTTTCTGGACTTTATTTGGTGTTTTACCCTTTTTTGTTCGGTCAGGTGTAGTAGATCTTCATTTCTGATGATGTTATACCAGAAAATGCGAATAATTTGTCGTAGACATTTATTAATAAAGACCTGCAATTTATCTGTAAGGGTTTTTGTCACTTGCGTGTGTCTAACGTCCATTGTATCCCTCTTGTCTCGGAGTCTAGTTTGGAGAGAACATAGTCTACTACTATGTTAAAAAGAAACTAAGAAAGCACGCATCCCTGTCTGACTCCAGTAAGTATGTCAAATTCGTCAATGTTGATTCCATTGTCACAGTCTACAGTGACTTTATAATGGAAATTATTTTATACGGATGTTTCTTAGCTCTAAAATTTTCCATAAAGCAGCATAAGATAAGATGTCAAAGGCAGGCTCGAAAGCCAACAACAAAAAAAGTCAAGTCAACAAAAAAACAGTCAACTGATTGTTCCATTATTGCCCTTACAGTATTAATGTGGTCTATTCAGAAGGATTCTGGTCTAAAGCCTGCTTGACCAGCTCGATATTTAATCATGTTTGTTAATCTTTGAAGTATAAGTCATATTCTTGCATTTACGTAAGACCAAGATCAAGACCAAGACCGTCTAATTTTAGTAACACCAAGACCAAGGCTGACCGTGCCAGATTTGAGCAAGAACAAGACTAAGCCTGCGAGACTCTTGCGTCTTGCAGTTAGGACGGGGTGTTGTTTTAGGAATTATAGTTGTTCGGTTTTATACTTAGAGACTCTATGAGACGCAAAGAAATATGTAACAAAAATTTAAAAAATTGGACTTGCTATAATACTAATGCGTATTACGAACAATACCATAAACATACACAGCGAATTAAAATATTTATTAAAAGAACACTTGAGACATTTGACACGTACTCAGAGCTCATAATTACAATGTAAAAACAAAATATTTTGTACATTCTTTCCCAGCTACCGTGTAAACAAAATACCAAAATATCTAAAGGAACAAAGTAAAACGTTATACTTCTTGGTATATAAGATTTATTAAAGACAGCATTACACAGTATATCGGACAATAAACGACAAAAACATCAGTATAAAACCTATAAAGTCGAAACTGAGGAAGATATAGAATATGTGCCAAATATTTCTGATTCACGTACAGCTATAACAAAATTGTGCAATATTTCCAGCAAAGTAAAAAGAAGTAAAATTTTCAAAATGAAAGTTCAGTCTGTTTGTAAAGTAGCTGACGTGCCATCAAATCTTAATCCCATACTCGACTGTCCAAAGAAATGG